CAAGTGCTTCACAAAATATGCTTCATAAATAAATATAGTAAGTTCTTTGTTAATGCTCTAATTAGGTATCAGTTAAGTATTACAATGTGTGTGCACACTGAGTTTCCTTATAATAAAATGTGCTACATAAATGAAACATATAACATATGAAGACAAAGTATATTATAAGATTACATTATTTATTACATTATCCATCAGTCATTAACTATGTATGCATGCTTGTTAAAAATGTATCTCGAAACTCAACTGAAACTAAACATTTCTTTGCATGTACTCACAAAATGCACCATCATACCTCGTCGCTGCGCTTGTTTGTTCTCATTTGCTCTCATCAGTTAATTCATGCCATCTTATGTTGTCCTGCTTCAGCTGCTAATTTTCTGCATGTTGTACTTTGCATGCTGCATGAATTTCTCCTTGAAGCTCTTCATCTTGTTCTTGTTTGCTTTCTCCTACGTTGTTGCTTTATGATTGTTTTAAAGGAGAAATTTACATCTTTCTCATCAAATTCATCTAATAGTGTTCTAAATGTGATTTTGAGCTACATAAAGATGAAGTAAAAACTCATTTTTTGAGTTGTTAAAAATGAAAAACTTAAATTTCTACCATCAAAGCTTCAAAACTAAGGTGTGCGAACATCTTACTGTAATGGTTCTAGTTTTGTTTTTTGTTTTTTTGTTGTTGTTTTTTTTGTTTGTTGATGGGATTTAGTTTCAATTAATCTTCTGATTGCTTTCTGAATGTACTTGTTTTTTTGTTTTTTTTTACATTGTCTAAGCACAATTTCCCAAATACAAACTGATAGATATGTCTTCCATGTCAGAACAAAAAAAAAAAATCCAGTTTATAATTATATAAAACAGCAAATAATTGCATTTTAAGGTAAAAAATGAGCAAATATTTAGGGAAATAACTCAGGTTGTTAATCAAAATAATTTCCTATTCATTTTCTCTTGATGGACAGTTCAAATTAAAAATGTACAAATTTATAAAAACAACATAAAACAGCCAATAAATTAATCTTTTAATAATGCCTGAATGAATTCAGAAATAAAACTGGTATGTTAAAATATTTGACAATGCAGTTCAAAAAGACACATATATGGCTGAATTCACAAACTGATTACTATTTTAAAGCTACTTTATATGTAAGATTAGTCAGTATATCTATAATGTTGACATGCTGATATATCTATTTTTATCAAAACTGAAAAATATTCCATTTATGAAAAAAAAATACAATTAATAAAACTATCATCATATTTTAGAACAAAAATTAGCACATACTGTCCATTTTGCTTAAGAAATGATGATGATTATTCAGCAAAGGAATTGCCTAATAACTTTTTCTTGGACACGTTGATGAACCCACTTCTTTGGTTTTTCTAAACAGTTGAGGTTAATAACAAACTTGCATATGTACTCCAACCATTGATTAAATACAATTTAATGTTTTCAACAAAAAAAAAAAAAAAAGAAGAAATCCATTTGCTAATTTAGATAAAGCTTTTAGGAAAACATTATTTTGACGAGTTGTCTTCACTTAATAATGTTGTTAACTGTGTCAACGTAATACAGTGTGTTATTTAAACTCAAATTTCTAACATAACCTCTTGAGACCCGAGCTCTTGTTTGATATGCGTATTTTTATTTCTCAAAAAAAAAAGAAAAGAAAAATCTATTTAAATATATGTGTATACATATATGTAATAGCATAATTATAGTAACATAATAAAAATAAAAAATGGACTACTGTGGTAATATAACCCAGAATGTGATGTCCATGCATGTGGACACCAGGTCTGAAGAGGTTCATGAAATGGGCTTGATGACTTCATTCTTCTTCACTGTGAGTTCACAACTAGAAGCGGTTCCTTTGATTGTAGGGTAAAAGTTAATTCCTCTAACTAAATGTAGTTTGTTTAGTTGAACACAATTTAATTAGAAGTTTTCATAACTCTGGGAGACTGATGCAAACTGTTTTCTTGTGTTGAGTCAAAACATTTTTGGGGGAGTTTACAATGAGGTTTGAGCTCTCTTTCACTCACACACAGACACAAACGGGGAAAAAATCAGGAATGTTCATCCCCTTTTTAATCATCCGAGCCTGGGAGCTCTCACAGACACAAAAGAGTTTGGCCGCTTTTGTTGTGGCTGTAGATTCAGCGGTTACCATGGTGACGGTAAAAGTAAAAGCTCAGTATTTGAAAAGTTGAAAAAAAAAAAAAGAGGGGAGTAAAGCCTCGTGGGGGCCTCGGCCTGCTTTTGGCCCCCTTTACATAAAGGCTGTTTTGACTTGTTCAAAGAGAACTGTGATTTTCATCGTCTCCTCTTGTGGTTTTTCTTTTTCTTCATCAGGAGACGCCACGTACCTCGACATCTTCAGAGAATTTTCCCACATGGCATCTCACAACCCGGAGAAGCTGAAGCGAAGGAGTTTGCACTTCCGACACTCCTTCAGGTAGTCTGCAGAGCATCCGGAAGGGGAACCGAATACTTGAAAAGTGCAACTTTCCATACGTTACTCAGAGCTGGGCTTCAGTGGCGACACTCTGATGCTGTTCTATAGATTCCACTCTCATATGATACTACCTGGTCTGTTTTTACTCCTCCAGTTAAAGTGCATTAAAGTGAAGAAAGTTTAGGATGCTGCCTTATATCCCTGATCAAGCTTTTTTTTTTGCTCTATGAGGATCTGCTGGCCTTTTCCTCCTAAATGTGTTGATAAATACAGCATTGCTTTTTGTACAGTGTTAGATGAGCGCTTGTTTGTTTCTTTTATTGCTGTTTTGTTCTCAGATCTATTGAAGGAATTTCATCGGTGCTTTAGAAATGTTGCTTTCTGTCCAGTCTGTGTGCTGCATGCATGTACTCTCATTATATTTCAACTTGAATTCAGCTTAAAAAAAAAAAAGGAAAAAAGTGTCATATCACCATCAGTTATGTTGAAGCCGCAGTGTTACTTCTCTTGATGAGCAGTTCATTTTGATATGAAATCTGTTTTTTGTTTTGCATCCATCGACTATGCTGGTGTAGTCTTTGTGATGTTTTGTTCAAATGGACTTTGCAGTGCCACTATGGAGCACAGTGACCTGAGTCGCTGTGACTTGTGCTGTAGAAGTGAAAAAATATGCTAATATATCTGAAAGAGCAGGAGCACTGATGAAAGATGGATGGAAATAAACATTGTCGTCTGTGTTTGACTGAGTCTGTCTTTCTTTGTGGATGAGACAACAGCGTCACCTTGTGGTGAAACATGAGTTCTAGATTTTAAGCATTTAAAAAGTCTTGTAATGAAACCTTGAAAGCTGGCATCAAGTATTTCCTTTAATATCATTATATGGAGGATTTCTGCTCAGAACGAGATTTTTGAAATTTTGTATTTAAACAAGATCAATCCCACTGTCGTTAGCGATCTCTTTTAAAGAGAAGCCGCGCCCAGATGGCAGTATTTTCAGAAAAATAATGTCAGACAGACACACACACACACACACACAAATGATATTAAAACAACTGGTGCTGAAAAATACTGACAGCTGATTGATTCATGATTATGCGGTTCAGATGTGTCACCACAACGTACTAAAAGTGTAACAGAAATTGTAATGTTTTTTGTTGTAATTAATTGTATAATAAAAACAGGCATTAACACATTTGTTATAAACGAATTAATCCATAAATAAGAAAACTAAAATACAAAGTGATTCACTGTTTGATGTTTTATTGGGTAATACTAAAGAGAGTTTTTTTAAAAAAAAAAAACAAGTATATTTTGTTTCATAAATAATCAAAAGTGTTTTGAAAATGTAGTTTGGAAGGAGAAATAAATAGCTCAATTTGCAAAGTGAATACGATTTCCAAGCTACTTTATTTATTTTGTGTTACAGTTAGTTATCAATATTGTTAAATAAATATTTTGATTCCTTTCAAAAGCTTAAATTTTAGATAATAAATATGATAAGATAATGATAAGAAATATGTTTCAAAATGTGGTGTCTCATTTATTTTGGATATTAGGACTTTGTTCAATCATTAATTATATTTTCCACAACATCTTTTATAGCCATGTCATAAGAGGAAGTGATTTAAAAAAAATAAAAAAAATAAAAATTTTTTATGAATGTGTAATCACATGGCCAATAGGGATATTCGTGCTTGGTGTGTTTATTAACTTTTGTGAACCCAAGAACCTGCCAGCAGGCTTGAAAGACATGTTTTCTTTAAATTAATTAATTAATTAATTAATACATGCATACATACATACATACATACATACATAAATACATACATACATACATCTCCACGATTACACCAGAACCAGAAACTGTAGAAGCAGAAAGAATCAGTGGATTTTCAGCTTTCAAGCAGTTCCTGAGTGAACCATGTGCATGTTTAACGTGGTCGTTGGTGTTTTTTAATGTTAGCTTGTTGAAACTAAGGCCTTTTACTTTTCTAACCCACCTTGACTACCTGAATATGGATTTTTATGCCACTTTTGGAGGGTTATAATCCATACGCCCTCCTATAACATGTTTTATAAATGAAATCAGTGCAGCATGGCTCAAAACAGAGCGACAACTTTAATATCACCACAACCCTATAACAGATTATGCAGATTTACCTGATTAGCTTAAATAGTAGGGTTTAAACCCTGCAATATTATTATTATTGTTCTTCTTATTATTGTTGTTATTATTATTGTTATTGTTGTTTTTGTTGTTGTTATTATGAATACGAATGGATCTTACTAAATTAAATATTATTTTTGTTTACAGTACAAACTAAGCTCACAGTAAGTAGAAATGTGTCAAAGCAAATAAAGTGCTTGTGTTTTAATGGTTTAATCATCACAAAGTTGTCATGATGGGTTTCCAGCTCGGTCAAACGAAGATAGTGAAAAGATGAGGAGTGGGACACTCTGGGCAGCGCGAGACGATCTTCGGCTACAGTGACGTCATGACGCAGCATACGTCGCAGGGCAGGAAGCAGGACGAGCAGACAGTCCGCGGTGATGGAGCTCCGTCCAGCCGACGGTGCTCGCTCCAGGAACATCTGACATTTCGGCCGACACGATGCACGGTTTGCTCGCTTGACGCGCGATGAGGCTGCGGACGGGAGTCAGGTGTGACTCGGATGCTCGCAGAGAGCTAGCTAGCTGTTAGCTCGGTTAGCCGTCCTCCGTCCTGTCTGCAGGCGGCGAGCAGCTCAGCTGATCGGCTGCAGCTCCACATACAGCCCGGCGAGGGGATGATGAAGAGGCCTTAAATGTCAGATCGGCGACGGTGCGCTCAGTCATCCGGTACAGGTAATGTCCCCGGCGGTGTCAGGGTTTACTGCCAGGCAGCGGAGGAGACACAACCGACCGTAGTGTGAGGCTCAGGTGGAGGGCTGTGGTTGTCAAGGTGGAGTCACATCATCATCATCATCATAATACTAACAGTAATTATCAGGATTATTATTAGTGATAATAACAATAATATGATCGACTTTTATTTACATTGCATCTGTAAAATCAAGTGTTTGCAAAAGTGCTTCGACAGACAAAACAAAAACAGGAGACCCTGAAGGCAACACAACAGCAATTAAAATAAAGTTTAAAAATCAAAATGCTGGAGTACATTTATAAGAACAGCAGCTGAGCCCAAGTGATTTCCAGTGGACAATAAGACTGACATTACACATTTGCAGCACTCACGAGTTTTAAGGATAAATCTCTGTAGTATTTAATTACATGTTAATTACCTGACTAATTTAAATATTAAGCTCAAAACCACTACCCAAAATTTTATATAAAACTTATTCACTTGACTAATTATTATGTTTAAGACCATGTGATATTAATGGTTATGCAGGATATCCTTTAATTTAGATTAATGTTTTTTTTTTTTTTTAGACCCTTATGAAATACAAATGAAGAAGATGACTGACTTTAATGTTATAGTTAAGGCACTATAATACTACATGTAATACAAATGAACCTGACTAATTTAAATATTAGCGTTAAGACCCTACACTGTAATATATATAATTTAAATTTACTTGACTAATTTAAATATTACGGTAAATACCTTACCTTGTTTTATAAAACACAACATTTCCTGGACTGACTTAAATGTTGCACTTTAGAATCTACAAAATATGCAAAATATGAAATGTGCAAACATGCAAGTTTACCGGACTAACTGAAATAGATAGGTCAAATCCTACAAAATTATATACATTCAAATGTACCTGATTAATTTCAATATTACAGCTAATACGCTACAGTATAATACATTATGGAAGTGTCTCCTACTAATTTAAATATTAGGGTTAAAGCAATACAAAATCATTAATTTTGCATTTAACTCAGGTCATTAAGAGTAAGAACCTACCATATTGTTGATTATGTATATTTAGCTGTCTAGTTCAGATCATTTCTGTTGGTCAAGACCCTGGTGACATACAGTTTTATCTCATTTAAATCGTGTAGTTTGGATTATGTATTGGGTATATATATGAAATATATATAAAATCACCTGACTAGAATAAATAGTAAGATTAAGAACCTACAATATTGTCTACAATACCAAATTGCCTGACTAATTTAAGTATTTAGGGTTCAGGCCCTACAGTGTAAATAATAGACTCATACATAATACTTCAGACATTCAAAGACACGTTAGCAATTTTAGTATAATGCAAAATTACCTGGCAATATTATGTATTCCAACTAATTGCCTGACTGTTTTAAACATTACAGTTAAAACTGTGATGAACATCAACCATTTTAATAACTCATTAGTTACTGAGGATACTTTATGAGGTTAAAACGCCATCTATTCCCCACGTTTTTCTGTTTTACATCAATGTGAAGTGATGATCTTTGGGGTTTTGGACTGATGTCTAGATCAATAGTAAAATAATCAACAGATGAATTGATTATTAACAGCAAAGGATTTGTAATGATGAGGTAAGTGGACACATAAACTAGGATTAAAAGTTGCTGTGAGACTGCTGTTAAGTATATTTGCTGTCATCATGACCAATAACAAAGACTCACAAACCTGAAAACCAAGTAGTAGGATTAATAGAGGGTGAATACGTAAAGAAGCACAGGCGCCAACATGGATAACTGCTTCTGCTCAAATGCAAACTTGACCAATCCTACAGAAAAAAAAAACACACACAGTCTCGGGAAAAAAAAAAAAAATATAAAAATAATAGAGTTATATACGCACACATATATTTTAGAAAAAAATAACACAATAGCACATTTTTCAAAGTCCAACCCCATCTTATCCTGGCTGTAAAAACTGTTTTATATATTTACTAATGTTACATGCTCACTTTGAAACCATTGCTGTGTAACACCAAACCAGATTAGCCCTCAGATGAAAACAGTTCCCAACAAATGAGCTTTTGTTGTCGTTTGGTCTTTCTTATGGAATTTGTTGACCATAACAAATATACAGAAAATTGCCAGCCTTGAGTTCGACTCAGTATTTTATTAAGATCACACACAAGCAATAACAGCCAGACGGATAAACATGGAGGAAACAGTGACAAGACCTCACAACACAATCCAATTCCTGAGGAGATAAAAAAATAATAAAAAAACAACATATAACACTTTGAATCAATCATCAAATCCTGGAAAAAGGATTTGACTGAGATTTTGACTGTAACTGATGTAATTTGCTGAAATATGGCTCTTAAATATTGACATGTTGACAAAAAGAGATTTTTTTTACTCGCTAATGTTTATAAAGACGACTGAAAATCATTCCTGGAAAAAGTTGGAGCTGCAGGGAGTCGTCCAGATTTATGCTTGACTGAATCCCTACAGTGAAGGTGGAGAGTGCAACGTTAGCATGATTCAGAGCCGCAGTAGCCACATGACTGGAAATCACACCCAATATACCCGGCTGAAATAAACCAAACCTCTCTTTTAATCTTAAATAATGTTCTCGTACAACTGAAGATGACGAATCAGATCACTTTAAAACCTAAAAATGTTTAATTTAACTCACTGTGTGTAAAGCAAAGAATGCTGCATGTTTATGAAGCTGAAACCATCCAGTGTTCTGCATTAATGAATTATTAAACTAGCTTCAGATTCATTTTCACCTGATTGTTTGATCATATCAGCTCTAGATTTTATATTAAATTGAAGATCAACACATTAAGATGTGTCAGCTTGTTTTCACAAGGATTCTCAAACACGTTGAAGTTAACATGTAGACAGAACTGAATACATAAGTCATAGTACTGATAGTAAAGTGTAATAACAGAAACAGCACAGAACAGTCAGCACAATAGCATCAACAAGAACACACACATATTACATTTTATTTATACGAGGTGTGTCAGAAAGGTTCCAGGACTGGTGTCACAAAAGATATATTTCAAACCCAAACAAAAAGCAAACTAGCAGTTTTCCCCTTCAGACGATCAACCAGCACGTCTACAAAGAGATCCTGCAGCGTTTGCTTTGTTCAGCGCACGAGAAGAGGTGAGAGTTGTGTTAGGACAAGTCGTGGCTGCTTCACCATGACAACGTGCCTGCTCGCAATGCCCTGAGCATCCCACAGTTCCTGGCTGAGAAGAACATCACTGTGCTGGAGCAACCTCCCTACTCACCCCACCTGGCTCCGTGGGATTGTTTCCTCTTCCCCAAGCTCAAGGGGGTCATCAAGGGGACCTGTTTTGAAGACCTGGACGACATCAAGGTGGCTGTGATGACGGAGCTGTGGTGGATCCCGGAAGAATCCTTCCAGGAGTGTATGGTGGTGTGGCAGAGAAGGCTGGGGAAGTGGTTAGACTCCAGGGGGATTACTTGAAAGGGGAAAATTTGTAGTTTGTAGTTTGGATTTGAAATGTATATTTTGTGACACCAGTCCTGACAGTTTTCTGACACACCTCGTATAGCGCAAACATATGTCATCTCATGACGCTTAACATAGTAAGGTGGAGACCCTAGAACAGGGGTCTCAAACTCCAGTACTCGAGGGCCGCAATCCTGCAAGTTTTAGATGTTTCCTTCTTCCAACACACCTGATTCAGATGATCAGCTCATCATCAAGCTCTGCAGAAGCCTGATAACGATCCTGATCATTTGAATCAGGTGTGTTGGAAGAAGGAAACATCTAAAACTTGCAGGATTGCGACCCTCGAGGACCGGAGTTCGAGATCCCTGCCCTAGAAATTTGAACAGAGAGCCCAACAATCCAAAGCTGACTTTGGACATCTGAGCAAGAGGTTGGCAGTGGTGGGAGGAAACCAGAACAAATAGAGAGGGGAAAAAAACCTCAGACAGAACCTGGATCAGGGAAGGCGGGCATCTGCCTCGACTGGTTGGGGTGAGTGGTTGTTGGGGGGGTGGGGATAGCAGGATAGCAGATGGAGAGCAAGTAATACAAACAGAACAATTAATATGAGAGAACAATAGACACACAGTCTCAAACCCCCACATCTGTGCTACAGGTGCTTCTCAGAGTGTCCCATGTCTGATGCAGCTGTTTGTCTGTAACCTCCTCCACAGACATGGCGTCGCAGCTCCAGGTGTTCTCCTCTCCCTCCGTCTCCTCCAGTGCCTACTCTCGCTCAAAGAGGCTCAAAGTTGAGAACCCTGCCTGGGATGTGTCCAACCAGCTGGGAGACAATGCTTACTACCAGCAGAGCCCCACCCAGGGAGCTGCTCCCTCCACCTCCGGCTCCAACTTCAACCCGGTGTACAACTCCAACCACCTGCCGCCGGCCAGCTCCAGGGAGCAGACGGTGGTGCGGGCGGCAGACAGCACGGGCAGCCTGCGCGGGCCTCCGTCCTCCTCCTCTTCCTCCTCCTCCTCCAGCCGGCGCGTCAAGGATGCAGAGTCGTCCTCGCAGCCTTGCGACCTCTACCACAAGCAGTACAGCCTGAAGAGGAAGAGCGAGGAGGTGGACAGCAGCGACAGCGTCCAGATCCTGGAGGAACTGTCGGCCCCCGTCGTCTCGAACCGCACGGGAGGCGGAGGAGGAACCACCACGGCTCAGTCCATAGCACACTCCACCTCCACCACCAAGAGCAGCAACTCCCACAGCGAGGGTGACTACCAGCTGGTGCAGCACGAGATCCTGTGCTCCATGTCCAACAGCTATGAGGTGCTTGAGTTTCTGGGACGCGGCACCTTCGGTCAAGTGGCCAAATGCTGGAAGCGGGGCACAAATGAGATAGTGGCGATTAAAATTTTAAAGAACCATCCTTCTTACGCTCGGCAAGGTCAGATCGAGGTGAGTGTTGTTTTTCAGCTGATACGGACAGCAGAGTTGATAATTAGAAGAGTCTATTCAGAGATAAACATCCATAAATCTGTGTAGAAATTGCAGGAGAAGGTTCAGCAGTTCAGTGATAACTGCAGGCTGGTCTGCAAACGAGAACAGCGGTTTGACAGGAGCTGAGTTGTGAACAAATATAGCCATAAAAATGTGACTGTCGCGTACAAGTAAAACACTCTCCATGACACAATTGTCCTTTATTTCCTCCAAGCATTATGGAAACTGTAGTTTACAAAATGACATCATTATGTCAAGTAGAAGAAAAAGAAACCTCTTGATGTGAACGCTTCATTTATTTTACATTAGCAACATGTTTTTATTAGTTGTGATCCGCATTTCAACCCTTCCTATTCATTGTCCATGTAAGTGGCGGGTATATATGAAGAGTTCATTTGCAAAAACAGATAATATCAGTAAAACTGAAGTCGAGTGGATTTGACTCAGTAGAAATGACATGACAAAAACAGAGATAACTTAAGTTTGATTGATTTTGTCTCAGGTAGATGATGGAAAAGTGAGTTTTCTGAAGGTCTGTGAAGATGGAGTTATCTGTTTTTGGACATAAAGTCTTCATATTCTGGTAGCACCAGGAAAAGTGCTTCGAAACAGACATTGGATATACATTTTTTGAGTATTTTAAGATGGCTGCAAGGTGGGGCGGTGGTTAGTACTGTTGCCTCGCAGCTAGAAGATTGCCGGTTCACATCCCGGTGGGGGCACCGGAATCTTTCTGCGTGGAGTTTGCATGTTCTCCCCGTGCAGCGTGGGTTCTCTCCGGGTTCTCCGGCTTCCTCCCACACAGTCCAAAAACATGTTGAGGTTAATTGGTGATTCTAAATTGTCCGTAGGTGTGAATGTGAGTGTGCTTGGTCGTCTGTCTCTAAGTGTAGCCCTGTGATAGACTGGCGACCTGTCCAGGGTGTCTCCTGCCTTCGCCCTAAGTCAGCTGGGATAGACTCCAGCCCCCCGTGACCCTAGCGAGGAATTAGTGGTGTTTCAATAATGATTGGAGTATTTGATCACAACTTTTTTAATTCTCAACCCATCCTGTCAACATCACTGCAGCACTGACATACTGCTGCAATGCAAGTACTGTCTGTGCACTTACTGGCCAACAATGAAGCATTTTTGAATTGAATACCATTTTTTTTTTTTTTTTTAATTTAGTAAAAAATGTGATAAAGCATGTATAGCATGAAACTTATTCTTACAGTAGCTACGTACAGCATGGATTAAAAAGATTGAAATACAAACTAGAGACAGATTATGGTATTACCATTGTTTGCCTATTAAGAATGTTTCTGATAATAATAGTAATAATAATAATCATTATCATCATCCTCATAATCATATTAATAATCATAATAGAAAACATTACTTTTATGCACAATTTTGGCATCAAATGCAACACAATGTGCTCAACATAAAAGCAGATTATCATTGCATTTTTGAATAATAAAAACAATAAAATAATAATAGACTTGAAACATCAGGTTAAAACAGAATAAGTAAAAGTAATGAACTCATAATTTTATCTTCCTCCGTCTGCAGGTGAGCATCCTCAGCCGGCTGAGCACAGAGAACGCCGATGAGTTCAACTTTGTCCGCTCGTATGAGTGTTTCCAGCACAAGAACCACACGTGCCTTGTGTTCGAGATGCTGGAGCAGAACCTTTACGACTTCCTGAAGCACAGCAAGTTCAGTCCTCTGCTGCTCAAGTGCATCCGGCCGATCCTGCAGCAGGTCGCCACGGCGTTGATGAAGCTCAAGAGCCTGGGGCTGATCCACGCCGACCTGAAGCCTGAAAACATCATGCTGGTGGACCCTCTGAGGCAGCCGTACAGGGTGAAGGTCATCGACTTCGGCTCGGCCAGCCACGTGTCCAAAGCGGTCTGTTCCACTTACCTGCAGTCGCGATATTACAGGTGAGCATTTTGTCCTACACGTGCCTGTATGTGAATTACCTGCAGTGATCTTGTCGTTCATGGACTGTGGTGTGCTCATAGGGCTCCAGAGATCATTCTGGGTCTTCCTTTCTGTGAGGCGATCGACATGTGGTCTTTGGGATGCGTCATTGCTGAGCTGTTCTTGGGATGGCCTCTTTATCCTGGTGCCTCAGAGTACGATCAGGTCATCTGCAGCACCTTCATACACTTTAAAGTGACGTTTATGTGCAAATGCTAATATACATCATACACATTTGAAACATTTCACAAACCAAAGTGTCACATTTAGGGTAGTAAGTATAAAATGAAGTCCAGCATATTGATATCACTGTCATATTTGTCCATTAAATAGCAGCTAGCTTAGCACAAGACTGGAAATACACAAAATAACTGGCTTGCTTCTGCCCAAAGAACAAAAAAAGAAATACTGCAATAATAATAATAATACTGATGAGTACTACATTTAGACCAAGTGCATATCCAATGTTTTCCCATCCCTGATAGGATGATGCGTTTAGAGGCATGTGACAGTTTCTGTAAAATCATGACCACCAGGTTGTTTTTATTCATGATGTTTAAAGGATAGGTTCCTAAATGTTCAAGTCTGTCTTAAAACCACAGTCAGATGCCCACATAATACCAAAAGAATGAGAAACTTTATTCATGACTAGCTTCAAAAACTAAATGACATAGTGCTTTACAAAAGAAACATCAAATGAACAATTTAGCTCAATAAAATAAAATAAAATCTAAAAATAAAAAAGAGAAGAATTTCTGCACTTCTCTGCACAACTATGAAACTATTAGTGACCAACAGTCACATTGCAAAAATTCTGGGACTTTTTGACCTCCTGGGATGAACTGCAGGCTGTGTTTGCATAGAACAGAAAGGAGAGAGGTACAGAAACAAGTTGAAAATGTAAGTAGTAAAATATTTATGGTCTGTAGAGTTACTTTTTTTTCTTTTCATTTTTCTTTGTGATATTGCTACCACATATGGGCACTTATTTATCCGATCTTTTTATTTTTTATTTTCCAAAGTAAACAAATTAATGCAATGCTTCCATGCAACTTTGTAATGATTTCTGACATTATAACTATGTCAGACAGCACACAAAGCATTTTTTATTCTCTCCTCTTGTACCCATTTCTATATGCAGGACCTTAAATTGAGGTGAAAAATGAGCCCAGAGTGAGTAAAAAAGCAAAAACACCCAGAAACTGCTTGAGGTTCATGTGTTTAACCTAAGATAAACTTCTGCGCTTAGAGAGGATTGGGGATTGACCCACTGACAAGCACTACCAGTGTTCATATTGGTACCTGACTGTTGTTTTAAGACAAACCTGAAAAACCAACAACTCACACATGCAGTCCTGTATAAACTGTACTGAGCACAAACACACAGTGCTGCAGGTCTACATTTGTCTCACACCTTTTTTTTTTTTTGCATCGGTTTCTCTCAGATTCGTTACATCTCTCAGACCCAGGGCCTTCCAGCAGAGTACCTGCTGAGTGCAGGAACAAAAACCAGTCGCTTTTTCAACCGAGGCCCTGACTCGAGCTACCCGCTCTGGAGACTCAAGGTAGGCGACTCCGCAGATATGAGTCCACAAAGAGAACAAACGTTTCCGAAGTATGTGTGCAGTGCATATAACGAGGTTTTTTGCTGTGGCTGTTCTTTCTGCAGACACCTGCAGAGCACGAGGCTGAGATGGGCATCAAGTCAAAGGAGGCGAGAAAATACATCTTCAACTGTCTGGATGATATGATGCAGGTGAGTTCCTGGTCTTAACTTCCATGATGTCATGACTTTATTATATTTAATGAAGCCATGCAAAATCTTACCTTCGTGCTATAAATGTTTTTCAGTTACTGGCCTTGAAGTGCATTTTTGAGCTTAATGGCATCTGGATGAAAAATGCATTTGAGCTTTGTTAAAAACTGTAACCTAATTCTTTTTAGATCGGGCAGGATTTTCCAGTAAAGCTTTACAGTTGTAGTGTAGTTGCAGTTTTTAACAGAGTTCAAATGTGTTTTTGTTTATCTACATGTAGAAGTTATTAAGTTATGAGGCCTCAAAAATACTGGAAAAAGTAAGACAAATTACTTATTCAAATCGCAAAATTTCGACAAAGTCAAGGGACCTGTAACTCTGAAGAAATTCCTAGTATGAAGGTAAAGTTTAATTTATTAAATACACTAAAGTTATTGTGCATAAGAAGTCAGCTGATTCTGGGGCGGTCAGGTTGGAGGCACTGAGTGATTCTTGGGATGTAATTTCATGAAATGACCCACTAAAATTGCTGCTGGAACTGGTTTTATTAAAGAAAATAGGACACTGTGTGTGTATAAGCAAACATCTTCTGAATCTGCTCTGCTGTTTGATATTAAACACCGACTTCCTGCAGGTGAACATGACAAACCTGGAGGGCACAGACATCCTGGCAGAGAAGGCCGACAGACGGGAGTTTATAGACCTGCTGAAGAAGATGCTGACGCTAGACGCAGACAAAAGGATCACACCCATGAAGACGCTGAACCATCCCTTCGTTACCATGACGCACCTGCTGCACTTCCCTCACAGCTCACAGTAAGATGACAAGCAGAGTGGTTTCTACAAGTGATCAGCAGATCTACTGACTGTTTCACCCCCAGCATTCCAGCTGTGCACCTGTCTGATGATTTTTTTTTAACACTTTTATCTTACAGTGTCAAGTCCTGCTTCCAAAACATGGATATATGCAAACGCAGATGCAGCGCCTTTGAGAATGGAAAAAATATGTTTGCAAGCAACAACACCCCAAGTGCAGCCACCAACCTCACTGTTACATTCAGTAGCCAACTAAACCAGCACAATCAGGTCAGGATGTGATCCGCCTCTTCAGAACGTTATTCTTTCTGATCCAGTTCGGGGTCAGTCTGTGTCATTTCAGACAGTAGTGTTGCTCCACTGTGTTAGATTTTGTTCAGAGTTTACTTATTTGTTTGTTTGGCACCCAAAACTCAGCTCTGCAAAGTATTTTGGCAGAATTTTAGCAATTTAGCCCTTATATACCGTTCACATTTTATGCCTGTCAAGAATTCCCTCATACTCAAGGGTCTAAACCAAATTTTAAACCGCAGATCTATTTAGAATGTCTAAATAGCCAGTGTCACATTAATATATGTAAATCAAAAATACACATAAAACATGGTCTGTACAGTTTCACAGTTTCAAGATTCACTAAAACCACCATTTATTTTGATTTTACCCACACTGGTAGATCTAAAATCCATCTCAGTGGATACGGGTGAAATTTGACCCCAAACAGCTTCAATGTATCACCTGTACATAAGTATATCATTTTGAAATATTTTCATTTTAGTGTATTATGGGTCACTTTAGGAAAAGTCATCAAATCTCAGACTAAAAGAATGACGTTTAGTTCTTTTATTTTTCGTATTTTTTTTACTGCTGTCAAATGTCAAAATGGGTCACATTTGACCCAAAACAGTATGTAAGGGTTAATCTCTTCAGACCTGATGCATTTTCACCCTAAAAAAGACACATTACCTGGGAAGCTGTTTTAAAGGTAAGAAAATGCCCATAGCCATAGAATTTGGTGAAGATGCCAACAAAACTGTTTCCACTAGACCCGTATGGTTTAACAACTTCAACAGAATTCAGTTTTCAGTTTTTGGCTAAAAGTGCAACAATTTTAAATGAGTTGTGTGCACACCAGTTTGTGGGGTCCCACATCCCCATTCTGCCACTTAGAAATAGAAAAAAAATTAACCTTGGCTTGCCATACTTGCCACAAATCAAGTTCTACTGATTTTAGAGCCCTTGAAAGTTAGTGAAATGTCAGCCAAAGGCTGTATTTTTGTACGAAATATGGATCCAACAATACACACACACACACACACACACACACACACACACACACACACACACACACACACACTTACACAAATTCTCTGGGACCGAATTATCATCCTTGTTTAAAATCTTGTGCTTTTTTCAAAAAAACATAAATTCTACAGGAACAATTTTGTCTGTGTTCTCACCAGAGTTCATGTCTGTGGGAGTTGTATTTCTGGAGCTATTGAAGCCTGAAAAATAACTTTCAATCTAAGACTATTTTTTTTCTGGTGAAATACAATAATATCCACGTCTGAAAACAACATTCTCTAAATTCTGGCTAAAACAGATGATCGTGGAACATCATTGTTTATGCAGCCACAAGTATGAAAATATGACATTTGTAAATGCTTTCTTAAATAAGTCTGGTGGACTTTCCTGCTAAATTCAACTTGTGTTTTCAGGAGTTGAACTTGGACTTCTCTGTCTGTTGTTTGTTCCAGATGGCCTCTACAGGAGGCCAGTCCCTGTCCCTCAGCAGCAACGTCCCACTGCTCAACTACCAGCCCGGCCTCTACCAGCAGGCCACCATCAACATCCCCGGTCTGACCCAGCAGGGCGTCCCTCTGCAGACCAGACCCACGCAGCTCTGCGCCCAGACTGAACCCTTCCAGCAGACGCTCATAGTTTGCCCCCCAACCATCCAGGGTGAGAATGAAGGAGCAGTTTAAGCAGTCAGCAACTGCATGAACGAATTAGATCTGTCTGTATTTCACGTGGTATAATCTGCCTCCTTCTACTCTTTGTAGGTCTTCAAACATCCAATAAGCCGTCTGGTTACCCAGTGAGAATGGACAACTCAGTACCCTTAGTTCCTCAGAACCAGTCGTCCCAGTCTCTTCACATCCAGCCCAGCATGCTGGCACAGGTGAGAGCCACTGCATGGCGACGAGGGCTGTGCTTCAGTGGAGTTTTACAGAATCAGAATTTACTATAAGTACATTTATTCTGGTACTATACTTCTTGTATTTTGGGTGTTTTGGCTTTGGCTGCTTTATTTATGAGGAAAATAGTTTGATTTTAAATTCTCCTGCATTTGTAGCTACTACTGACTTAAGAAGAAATACTTTAAACTAAAAGAGTCAGTCTTCCACCAAGTTCAATATCTTTCTCAATTTAAAAAAAAAAAAGTGATCCAGATCTGCACCAAGGTGTCTTCTTTGGCCATTTCTCCGCTTCAGTTTTATGAAATTCAGCTGATTGTTTTTGTATAAATCTTGCTGACAGACAAAAGCAGACCCAATGATATAGTGAGTTACGACGTTTTCCACCAAAGGGATGTCTTTCCTTTAAACCTTTCCAATAGTTTCAAACTACAGAAAATTAACCAAAGTCCATATCCGTTTGATCTTTTTTGTCTTTTGTCTTTCTTCACTAATGATTGGAAATGACCTTCCTGATTTAACTTGGACCATACGTTGGGAACCACCAGACTAAAGCACTCAACTATATAAATTAGTTAAAAATCTTCCTCTTGGGCCAGCTACAGCAAGAGGATGCTGCTAATGAACTGATGCATCAAAAACAATCTAATAATGTCACATATTTTCATATATACAGGGACCAGGAACAAGTACTCTAACTTGTCTAAGATTTTGCAGGATTCTTGCATTGCAGTGTTGATGCTTTTACTGAAGTAACAGAGTCGAGTTCTTCTGTAATCTCAGGTGTGACAGACAAGGATATTCAGTCTGGTAATATTAACTACACCTGCTGGTGACATCTGTCATGTGAACCTGTAAAATGAGCACACTGCTCATTATAAAGCTTGACAAGATATTTAAGGTCTGAAGGGATTTGTTAGCAAATCCAGAAATGATTTTAAGTCAGGGGTCGATCCAAGAAATGGGCAACTGGAAAAAACTCTATTTACTGTTATGATTTGTATAAATGTGGGTGGATTTCTTTTCTTTTATTCCCCTCTCTCTACATTTTCCACAAAAGGATTGTAAATATCTTGTCCTGGTGTGATAACAAACTGAGCAATCTTGATTTTAAGCGAAGACTTTTTCATCTTCGGGAGTCAAGCTGCTCTAAATGTGTCCTTCCAGGTTACGTCTTCACTAAACCGGCTACATTAACATGCATCCACAGCAGAACTTTCAGCTAGTTTATACTCGTGCTCAGATCAACCCATTTGGGTATTTTGCTTTTTCTTCTTTCTGCCATTTTGAACGTGTTATTTATTGTATTCAATTCAATTCAATTCAATGTTATTTGTATAGCGCATATTTACAACAACAAGTCATCTCATAGCGCTTAACAAAGGCAGAAACACCCAACAATCCAAAACATTTGGATTCCCTATAAGCTTCAGCAGTCCGAAAGCAGTCCACAACAGTGGGAAGGAACCGAAAACCCCCACAGGGGAAAACAAAACCTCCGACAGAACCAGGCTCAGGGAGGGACGGCCATCTACCTCGACCGGTTGGGTGGATGTATTCAGCAGAGAATGTTTTTGAGAGAATAACCACAAGCGCAGTCTCACTTTACCAGCCCATTCTGTAGGACATAAGGCTGCATCTCACTATCATTCTGCTATAAACTGTCACAACCCGGCAAATGGGTTAAGACAAAAGAGGGGAGACGACACAGGTATTGCCAGAAGAAAAGCATTATCTTTTATTAACCGCTAATTTAATACTAGCAAGGTAAGATGTGTAAGTCAGTGATATTAGTAGTGTAGGTGCAGATGCCTGGATGTGATGTGGTGCGAGGTGTTGTCTGATTATAGAGTCACAAACCAAAATGACAGTGTGGCCGTAAATCACAAGCATGACGAGAGAGAGCATGAGCTGAGGGGTTGGCCCTTTTGTAGCCTGGAAGCGCTTGGCCCAAGTATGCCAAGTAGGTTGGACCGCCCACTCAGTCTCAAGCAGTTTAGGGACCTGAGGAAGCAGAACAAAACACAGACAGCCAATGTGCACAACCAACATACTCGGTGGGGCCGTCACAAAGCAAGAAAAAACCTCTGACTTGTTGGTGTTTCTTTGAACCTTTTGGGTTTTGGGAAGAGCCCACTCGAGGACACCACAACTGTGCAGTGATGGGGGGGAGAAGACAACTTTGTCATTACAATGGCTCATTTCACACAAAAGAAAACACCACAAAACCCCCCAAAATGACGACTGCCAACTTTGGCTTTTACTGATTAAAAAGACAAATTTAATGTGATGATCATTGCCCTACAGACGAAGCCTCCATGTACTTTAACTCTGTAGGAGCTCATTGGACACATTAAAACCTCAGACAACTGACTAGCGGAATATGGCTTCTGCAGAAATTCACATAGCTGATATCACAGATGCTTGTGAAAAGTGGAACAGATCGCTACATTGGTTAAGTCATGCAGCTCCCAGCGTAAAAGATGTGTCAAACCAACTCTGACTCACAATGACCTTGTCAGAAAACAGGAATAACATCAGGCGTCAGAGTCCTGTGAGGTGTGTTTACAAGTGGGTTTGGTCCTGAAGCTGAAAGCAGTAAAATCAGATTTGATAGAGAGAGTGGTAAACATGGGACTCATCTAATTCTGTCATCCATGACTGAACTATTTCTAATCTGTTTGACACCATCTATCTTTGTCTACACCCGCTAGCTCACTGCAGACAAGCCAAGTATACAAACTGATTTTTTTCCATAACCGGTAGACAAACATGTAAGAACATCCCTGTAAAGTCCACCTAACTTTTCGTGAGTACTCTGAAGTTTCAGTTACCAGGAAAAACTCCTTGTGTGTGCGAGCTCACTTGGCATTAAAGCTTTTTTCTGATTCTGATACAGATTAGACACCAAATGCTGTAAACGACTGTAAAAGAACTGTAAAAGATCTTTACAACTGACAGAATCAAGCGGGCCTGCTGCTTTCCAGCGTGTAGGTTGCTGCTACTTCTGTAGTGAAGGGGCAACACTTAGAAAGTGGAAGGGGAGAAATGAGCAGACAGTTGCAAGCTTTTACCTGAAAATTCAACTGGTGAGTCAAACTAGCAGAAATCAAACTGAAGTCGTTTCTTCTTGGGTGAGAAAACAATGAAATGCTGTGTTACTGCTGTCATCTGTTTGGTTCATTGTATGGTAGTGTTAGTACAAAACAAACCAAGCGGCTGCTTTTTAGATGTATGTGTTCAGTTTTAGTCTGGATGGAGCACAATGAAGAAAAAAGGTGCGTTCACAAATGTACCTGGTTTAGTGAGGACATGGTCTCAGTGTGTTTGGATGTCGTAACACCTCCCTCCACCTCCCCTCACCTCCCAGGCCTCCTTTGACCCCCTGCTGGTAGGCGGCCTGTACGCCTCCGTGGCTGGGATGCCACGTTTAGGTCCGCTCCAGCTGCCGGCTGGTTGTGGCGCCGGAAGCCTCGGCGGCTCACTGGATCAGTATTCCTCCATGCTGGTAAAGCACCATCGCCATTACCTGCCACCTTGGTTGAGCTCTCTTCTTATTCCCTTCCTTCCTCCCACAACATACATCTCAGTGTCGCCCAGCTGAGGACGCATGTGCAACTCACCAGTCTGGATTGTGCTTTTGCTCGCAGTCTTTGATGTTCGCTGTTTTCCCCCTCAGTGTTTAAAGATCAAGTGCTAGTTCTCTGAGTATGTCGGGGCGGGTCAAAAGTTTGCACTTTTCATTGGTGTCGTGTTTTTCCAGCATTTCTGAGTGCTCATAACTCCATACATGAAGCAGGCAGCCTCGTAGAAGTTTTAGGAATTTAAAAAAAACATTTAAGTTCTGTTGATAACTGCCACCACACTACAGCAGGTGGGAAACACACAAAGTTAAAAAGAGTTCATCACTGCACTTCTGTAACACTGTTGGACTCCTGTGTACACAAAAAAGATATATCTGAAGTGGTTGTCTTTTTTCCATCTGTTTGCCTCATCAAAACTTGGCACCTATGTTATCCTTGACACCAACAGTTCGTTAGCAGATTTGAGCTGCTACCCTTAAGCGGGCTTCAGTCAGTTTACCAGATGTGTCCATAAGCAACAGTTCTTACTCAAGACCTGTAAACAACTCTAGTGTGTCTTTAATTTCACACTGCTCCATTTTTAATGCCTCCAGCGTTTATTCTTGTTTAAAAACGACAACACCCAATTGCCTGTCCTTACCAATCAAAGGCATTTTTAATTACAACTCGCTTAATAAATATGAAAATAGGGGAAAAACACATTTTAAAGTGACAATTGTTTTTTTTTTAAAAAAAAAAGTTGCCTAAATTAGATTCTCTTCAGCAGTTAAAAAAAACATAAAATAAAAAATCTTTTTCATGTTTTTGATCATGTGGTAGCTTTTAATGCATCAATGTTGTTAGCAAAATTTCAAATTTTAAACTGCAGTTTTGTGTTTGGACATGTCATATTTGTTTAACATGCAGGTTCTTGACCGGCTGAATTTTTTCTGGCATGCTAAGTGGGTAGGACATGGGACTTGAAGAAACAAGGTTATGAAGCCAATTTTATTAAGTTAGTACAACTAGAATTTAGTGTTTAAATCAATTAGTGTACAAATTTGAGTTTAACTTACACACAATATTAAGTTGATGCAATTATCAAAATTTATATTTCAACTGAACTCATTAAAATAATTTTAACTTCAAAGGTTGATCTAAATCAGTTAATTAGATTTTTCTTTTCTTGCATTTAACTGATATGGGAGGATAGGTGTCCTGATTTACATTTTGAAATCAACTTTCATTTCTGTCTCGTTTGTGTCTCAGACTAACACATTTCAGTTTCAGGTTGGTTGGACCATCTCTGTTGTTCTCAGTGCAGAACTGTATGGCATGAATGCTTGGCATCAGAACCTTGAGTGAAATGTATTCTTGGAGCTAGGTTTGGTATTTGCTGTTTCTTTAGCCACCTTTAGCACGTTTCTTTCTCAGCAGTTACAAATGCAGCTCTCTCTGAGATGGATGGAAACAGGATGCAAAGCAGTAACCACTTTGCTTTGTTCCGTTGTGACCGTGTCTTTGTTTTAACGTGACGTCTGCTGGATCTCTTGCTGCAGGACGGAAATGGGAGCATTTGCATTTACCTAAAGACTCTGCATGTGCTCATTGCGTCTTTTCTGATTCTCTAAATAACTCCAGCTTCTGCTGCACTAAGGTCGACATGCTGCACTTTGAATTGAACATGTCCGCACCAGTGTCTTGCAGCTGTTCAACATGTTCGTATGTATGTGTGCGTACAGCAGGGCTGGCCAGCAGGGACGCAGCAGATCCTCATCCCTTCCACGTGGCAGCAGATGCCTGGCATGTCCATCCACAACCCTGGGCAGGCTGTGGTGCCTGACTCACCCATGGGAGCCCCTATCTCTGACAGTCAGCAAGCTCCAGGCTGGAGGTTGGTTCTGCAAACTTTTACCTTCATACTGTGAATATTTTCAGAGTTACAGGCCCTTGAAGTACATAGGAGTAGATCAAAATTTCACACTTTATAATTTATGTTGCTCCAGCACTTCCCCTCATAACTTCATAATTACAGGAGATAGCCACATGAAACTTTCATGGTTAAAAAACACATTTCAGCTCTGTTAGAAACTGCCACCACATCAATTTTGACTCCATTTCAGGTCAGCCTACGGCTGAAATATAACAGGACACCTAGTAAATGTTGGTCGCTCATGCAGAGTCCTCTTCTCAGGGGTCGCCACGGCAGCCAGTACGATGGTGTCAGCCAGCAGGACTCTGGTGTTGGCCGTCATGCTGCCTCACAGAACCACAGCTCAGGAGCCGCTCACTCAAGATCCCAACAGGGCAAGAGATCGAAGGCCCGACATGCCGAGAGCAGAGCCAGGTATCCAGCTGTCCATCCGTCACACATTCACATCTTTTAGGTGCTTTAATAGGCTGTAAGGTTAGGGAAGGTTGGGCGGCTGTGGCTCAGGTGGTAAAGCGGGTTGTCCTCTGATCGCAAGGTTGGTGGTTCGATCTCCTGCCCCTCTACAGTAGAAGTGTCCTTGGCCAAGACACTGAACCTGAAGTTACTCCCAATGGCAGCCCAACGCCTTGCATGGCAGCTCTGTCACCATTGGTGTATGAATGTGTGTGTAAATGGGTGAATGAAAAAACACTGTAAAGCGCTTTAAGTACCACTAAGGTAGAAAAGGGCTGTATAAGTGCAGACCATTTATCATTTTATTTACATGTTGTGTGCAATATATTCATTACTATATTATTTTACATGAGTACAAGCTGTAAAGACAATTAGATAAAATATTTATAAATATATTGTAATAGATTCTGTGAGCAGATCTGTAACCAGCACGTCCAAGCTCTGAAAGGTAACCATGAAGAACAGTGAAATTTAATGACTGGTTCTGGATCAGTGTCAGTTACTGCTGTTGGTATCTGTGTCTGTCATTTCGATAGCGTGTTGTTTAGCTGTCTCAGATTTTGTTCAGAGTTTAGTTATTTGTTATGTGGGATGCAAATCTAAGTTCTATATTATTATTTTGAAATGTTTCAGGATTTTTTTTGGTTTGTTTTTAAGATTTCAATATCTCCTGAAATGTAACTCCCACAGCCATGAAATGTGATGTGGACACAAACAAAACTGTTACCAGCAGATTCAAATGATTGAATGGCTCTAGCAGAGGCCAAATTGTTAACTATTGTCCCCTAAAAGTTGGAAAAAACACAAGAACTTGTATTTTGGCCCCATAATATTCCTGTAACTGTGTGTGTGTATATATATATATATATATATATATGCACGTATCCATGTTTCCAACTAAAAACACAGCCTTTGGGGTGGCCCATAAACAGGGGCTATAGTTCCTCGACGCCGCGGTTGTGGATTTGACTCCCGCTCACGATCCTTTGCTGCAGCTCCCCCCACCCCCCCTGTCTATCTCTACTGCTTTAAATAAAGGCAACAGTCCAGAAAATATATTTTAAAAAACACAGTCTTTGGTTGACATTTACCAACTTTTGAGACCTGTCTCAGTAGGAGTCAAGGGTTTTTTTGGTCAATTTTGACATGTTAAAATGGTGATGTAGATCACAAAAACTGGTGTGCATAAGGGTCTATATATCTATAATGTTGGCCAAAGATTGTATTTTTAGTAGGGAATATGGATATGTTAATATGTATGAATATATCCATACTTCCAATATACACACACTTAGAGAAACTCACTGGGACCCCAAAACCTCCCTTGTTCAGAAAGTCTGCAGTTTTTCATAGCCTCTGCTAGACCCATTCAACCATCAGGATTGGCCGAAGATGATTTTGTCTGTGTCCTCACCAAGTTTCATGGCTCTGGGAATCCATTCTGGAAATATTACATCTTGAACATCGCTTCCCAGCGAAGACTTTAAAGAAAAATAGTAATAATAAATAATCAAAATAGAGAATGGCCCAGGTGTGACAAACCATTTAGTTCTTTAAATTTTGTCAAGATATTTTGCAGAACTCAGGTTTTGGCCCTAAATAGCAGATTTATAAAGACTGAATAAAATCTGAGACGTTGCAGCAAATGGTTTTCTGAATTCTGAACTGACACGAACTGACCTCAAAGTGAAAGTGCGTCTTTCCCCCCCTGCAGGCCGGTGTCGTCAGTGCATTCAGCCACCACCGTAGTCCACAACACGTCTTTTGCTGGTGACCAGTCTCAGCCCATCGTCATCTCTGACACACCGAGTCCTGCCGTCAGCATCATCACCATCCACAGCGACTCGGAGGACGAGGATGAGACAAAGTTCCCTGCTGCTTGGTGAGTCATTTACTGTCGGGTGCTATTTTATCTATCTGCCTTATTGACCCTTTTTTTCTCAAGCAAATTTGTGTATTCGATGTATCGGCAGAGTTTGTACACATTGGAGAGAGAGCTGAAATGATCGTTTACTCTTGCAGCTCTGGAACGAGCCAGAGGACCAACGTAATCAGCTGTGTGACGGTGCACGACTCCCATGACTCTGACTCCTCCACCAGCAGCCCCCTGAGCCCCAAAACCTCTTCCCAGCCCGCCAAGTCTCTGGCCATCATCATGCCCTCTGTGAAGAGCCAGCCTGGAGAGAGCACAACCCACAAGACTCCAGCAGCTCCAGGTCCTCCACTGCACTGCTCTGTTCAACTCAGTCACATCCAGTCCATATTTATTTCATTTCTATCTCACTGTTATTATTCTTAGTCTATTCTTCATTCACTTCATACTGATTTAATGTGAAATAACTAAACGTAGTTGCACAAGTGGCCTCAGTGGATCCTTTTTTTTAGACTACTCATACTGACAAATACATTCAACTTAATCGCCAGCTTTATATGAATGGTCTAGTGCCTGTTTATAAAATCCAGTGCCGTTGCACCTTTTCTCAGTAGATGTGTATATCTGCATTAATTGTATATGCAGTGTTTACTTGTTCTAAGTAGTGCAGTTAAGGCTTCATGGTCTTTAAAATGTCTACTTTGCGGTGTCCACTATGTTGAGCTAAAATTGCTCACACGGCAAATCAGCCAAAAATGATTTGTAGCTTCTGTTTGCTTTCTCATTTATGGCCCCAATGCACGTTTGTGTTGAACCGCAAAAATGCTCATTTTCCACTCACTTTTCTAGGCTCAGGGAATATATATAAAACCCTAATGGATTGAAAATTCATAAAAGAGTAATAATAGACCTTGTGTGCACTTGGAGGTTTAATTTATAATTGTGGTCTATGGGGAAAATTATTTTTGGGCTACAGGGGATTAGTAAATACTGTGGAAAACTGGCAGCAAGGCTGAGAGCCACATCCAGCTCCTCCAATACATCCACAGTTATAGCCTCATTGAACAAAAGCTAGTGAGAAAATACCCAGATTTTGTGCACACCTCTGCAGTTTTGGGCCCGAAGAGCATCCACGTTAGCGTTCTTTTTCAGTCAAGCCTATTGTGTGCGACCGAGACTCCAGCTGGAGCTTCACACACATGAATGGGATAAAATGACTTATAAATTTACCGCTTTTCTAGTCTTCTTGAAAGTTATTGGATCAAAGGAATACTTCTGATAATACAAAGAGTTTGTAGTATTTGCAGTTCTTTTTTATATAATTTTTTGGGGCTTTTTTGCCTTTTATATGGAGCAGTAGAGATAGACAGGAAAGGGGGGAGAAGAATCGGGAGAGACCTGCAGCAAAGGGTCATGAGCGCGAGTCGAACCCACGACTGCTGCGTAGGGGAACTATAGCTCTTGTTCATGGGTCGCCAGCTCAACTAGGTGAGCTATAGGGGCGCCCAGTGTTTGCAATTCTAAGAAAAATGAATCGACTGTTTTACAGCAGCTCAGGCAAGTGTGTGAATCTCATGGTGAACACAGATGTTGGCGTAATGGTGTTTGCCCATTATGTCAAAGTCACTGGCCAGAGCTTGGGTCACAGTCTGTGCGGAAAGATCGTAAATTATGAAACTGTTGTGACTCTGGACAGTTATCGGACTCTGGATATCTTGTAGCAAATCTAGAGAGTAAAATAGAGGAAGAAAAAAATCACTGATCTGAGCTTTAAGTGCGCTAACGTTGGTTATCCAGCTGTCTGCAGATGTCAGGCTGGTGTTTTGTCAACATAAACACTTCAGACTTAATCTGATCTTAGCTTGATTTAAAATTTTTGCTTTGATATTTCCGTCATAGCAAAACTGTCGAGCTCTGAGACAAAAACCAAACTAGGTTGCTAAAGGAGCATCGTCTGCTCACCTGCTATAGTAGAGGTTCAGATTTCAAAGGTAAATTCAGAGACGTTCGACTTAGCGTTGCTGTTTATCTGACATAACGGAATCGGTTACAGGTTCAACTTTAAAATGATCCATTTTACTTAAAGCAGTTGCAATCTATATTCATCTTAGCGCTCACAGCATCCTGTCTGGTTTTGAATCAGTAGATCAAGCTACGAGTGGCTCGGGGAAGTCCAAGAAGGGGTCTGCTCAGCCGCCTGGTCGACCAGGAGACTCCACCACTGATCGCCATCAACGGGCTGCATCCAGCAGATCTCAGCCCCTCAACCTGAGTCAGGTAACAGCTCTCACACACAGCTCTGCTCAGAGGTGAACCCATAAATCATCTAGCCTTGTCTTACAACAACACCAGTATATGAACTTCTGGTTACTGCTACATCACTGCTCCAGCTTGTCATCTGCTCAGCTATTTGCTTTGCTGGAGCTCAGGGACTTTATTTACTACATTTAGGTGCCAAAAGATTAATGCAATTATAATTCGAGGCACATGGGTCTACTCAAACAGAAGGAAAGCTTTCCAAAGTAATGTGTCTCAAAATGATTTTTTTTTTAAAAAGGGCAGGGATTTACAATGTCACATATGTAAAAGTCTAATCAGTGTCATGAACAAGTGCAGCTGTTTTTAAATTAGTGTCAATATGTGACTAACTGTGGAGGTTCTGCCATCTCTACATATTTACTTTATGCCATGTAAACACAGCATATTACTCCCCAGTTGTTGCTGTTTGCGTTGCTGTGACATAAAGTTGCGAGGAGGTGCATGGCAGGCAAAGGTACGCTGCTGTGCTGAAGTATAAATCAAGCTTTAGTTGTAAATGTAACATGACATGATCACAGTCAATCCCTGAAGGCTGTACTTCAAGTTTGAAATTGTTAGATCTTCTTTGTTTCACTGGCCCCACCTAAAACCCCAATTATAGATAATGGGTGTCATGATGGTGGTTATCAACTGTCTTTGTTAACCAAGTTTTCTGCGTCAGACTTTCAGACTCACATCAAAGGGGGCTTTTAACATGTCATGTGACTGTTCTGCCACACAGAGTGGCCCGATTGTGTTCTGTCTACATCTTTCAGAGGAACAACTTATAGTAATGGAGACCTATGAAGAATATAAACATTTATTACAGTTATAAGTGTTGCTGCTGAAAAATGATGCAAGACAAGAAAGAGAGAAGAGAGTGCTGCTAGTAAATTGTCAGTTGTGAAAGTGAATGTATTTATTTTATCACTTAGTGACTCCGTGCAGCTGCTCATTTCTAAGGCTGCACATTAGAGCTGTTCACGTTAAACTTCATTCATTTAGGCATCATATTGAAGAAGTGCATTTAGGTATGACATTGTCCTATAATGCAGGATATTACTTTAATTTTTGGCCAAATCAAAGCAAAAGTAAATAACTGATTAAATATTCTCTGTAATAAATACCAACAGAATAATACATTTACTATTCTGTGTTCTATTAGTTGCTGTACCAGCAGTGTAAAACAGACCTGGCAGAAAATTCAAATACCAAATGTATTTATCCATTTTCTTCATTGACAACAATATATGTAGGTTCCACAACACGTACAGTGCCACTGTAACTGCACGGCTTCAGTCAGTGGAATTAGTCATTTATAGCTCAACATGTTTGCAGATATAGCCTATTTTTGTATAGTTGTCAGGAAATGAACTGGTGAGCTAGACACTTCTCACAGCTGATTAAGATCTCCAGCTCTGAACAGAACCTCCTCCTGAGCAGGTTAGCTTGCTGCATCAGTTACCATGGTGACCTAGCAGGTTAACCCAATTCAGGACTTTGATGTTGCCATACACAGAAGGTCTTTCGGGGTCCATTGGACCCCAAGAAACAATATGTGCAAAATATTTGTTGGTATTCATTATAGACTTTTATACGATGTTAAATACATTTTCTGATAATCCAACGCATGACAAATGTCCCTCTTTTTATATTAAAAAAAAATCATCAAAACTAAAAAAACAATACCTGTCACCTTAACCAAATGGCCTGGGGTCGAAAAGGCCTCAAAAGTCCTGAATAGGGTGAAAGGACAGCCACCTTCAAGACACTCAAATCTCTGACTTAAGTCTTAATACACCTGCTGACCCACTAATCTTCGTAGTAGGTTTGGGTACTGGGGTGGAGCCTTGGTTCACAGACCTCGTTGTTGTCTGTCATTTCAGGTACAGCAGTCTGTGATGACATCTTCCCATGAACAAACAGGAAGCAGTTCTTTGAGGCGACAGCCCACTTACCCCCCTCCCGTCTCCTCCCACTCGTCCTACCGGCTCCACGAGAGCACCCTCTTCAGCTCAACCCCAAACCTGTACGCCTACCCGGCCTCTGCTGCCCTGGCCTCGGTGTCCCAGGCTGTGGACCAGATGCAGGGCGGTTCGTCCCGCCACGGCAGGGCGAGCGGAGCGTACTCCTCCCTGGCGCTGCTCCAGAAGAACGGCAGTTTAGCCCTCGGAGGGTCTGCTGCAGGACAGTACGGCAACCACAACCAACAGCAGCAGCAGCAGCAGCAGCAGCAGCAGCCTTTCCACCGCTCCAGTGCTGCTTACCAGCGAAAACTCAACCAGTATCCCTACCTGTAAACACTAAAGGACCAAACCAAGACCGAGACTAGAGACGAGCACAAGCTCATCACAGATGGCTGTGATTGGACTCGCTTTCAATCCGACTTTTTACTTTGCTTCACTGTCCAGTCCTAGAATGTGTGTTTTTTTTAATCAGTCAGTTTTTACTTTATTCCACTTTCTTTCTGTTGTATCACTGCGAGTCAACAGTGCAGGATCTTTACTGTAGTTGGGCACAGGGTTGGACTCCAGCACATGATTTAAAATTAAACAAAAGGAGTAAGGTTAAAGGTGACTTACAGCTTCAGTTTTTATATATTGTGCGCAAATGTAGGAAGCTAAACAGAAAACTAAATTGTGCTCTTACTTACAGACTGCAATTTTAAATTAATTCTTAACATATAAAGCCCTAAATTTTGATTTCATGTAAGAAATGTGTGTTGCGGAGAAACTGGAACTTAACTGTTATGCTGCTCTATTATTATTATTATTATTATTATTGTTATTATTATTATTATTATGTTGTAGTTGTCAAAATCATCCAATAATCGTTTGAAATGACACATTTACATATACACAGTCGCCTTACTTATTTAGGCCAATTTCTCTTATTTAACTTTTAATGTCTGCACATTGTGATAAGTTGGAATAATATGTTGTACGTTTCATGTATGAATGTACTGTGTGTTTTATCTGTACTATGAAAACAAATGGAGAACATAAGCTACGTACTGTACTGTATAAAGATGTGTCACTGTGTTTTCCATGTTGATTCTGTTTCAGTGCTGACTTAATTATATTCATATGTTCAGTATGTTGAACGACGCGGTGCATTTCAGTGTGGAGTAGGACGTATTCAAAGGGGACTTCTGTTTTTCTTTTTTTTAAGGTTTTAAAGTTACTGTTAAGGTTGCATGTGTCTTACATGGAGTAGCATTCAGGAGAGGTTTGTAATATGCAGCCGCAGACGGATTAGTAATATTACGTTTAATTTGTACGACAAACACGTAGGTAATATTGGGAAAATGTAAAAGTTGTTGTCTTGTGACGTGATGTCTGTGAAGTAAAGCGTGAACGTTAAAAAAAATCTGATTGGGTATCACACAAGCCATTTAGATGAAAATTCACAGTACTGCTTTTGGAATTGTGAATAATAAAATCTGACAAAGTTGATTTATAAAGATATAAATTGATGTTTAGTATGTTACTGCTTCTAAACAAATCATTGGTTTGGTGAAATGATGGTTGTTCTTACAATCCTGTTGTGTCGTGAAGTGCTACATTACATAGAACACACAATGAACCTTAACCCGTATGTACGCAATAAAATCTTCTCAAAACAGGATTTGGGACTCGTGACTCATGGTGATTTCAACTCAATACAATTTTCAAATTATGCAGTTACACAGCACGTATATTCAAATTTAAATCCAGGATCAAGGAGAACACTAGATCTGTGTGGCAGACCAGAAATTATAATATTAATATTGATTTATCAATTAAGTCTACGATGATAAGTGACATTCTTATCGCCACCAGGTGTTCAGTAAACCAGCCATTTATTAAAAACCTGGCAACACCTGTCATCACCCAATGAAGAAACTTAACTTTGATGCGTCTCTATTAGTATTATCAGAAACATTATTATCATATATTATATATGTGTTTTTGTTATAGCTACTTTATTTTTGCCCTCATCCTGTCCATTCTTAGTTTCATTAAAGTTGCATTCAAGTTTTCTCCTTCAGTGCTTTGCTTTTTATAATTCTACTGTTTTAATAAGCCAAGATGCTTTACCTTGGATATCCTGGGATAATATTGGTACAATATAGGAGAGCTACAAAAAAAGTAAATGCTGAAAAAATAAATACAAAGCTTGCTCATAGGGGATCATGTATATATATTTTTTTTACATACGTATTACTTAGTCAGACATAACTAATAATGAGGTAGGGAATTAGCCTTAACATTGACCATAGTCAGGTAATTGGGTTTTACTCCTTAAGATTTAAATTACAGAGGTATAATCACACCATGAATAACACTGTGGAATCTTAACCTCAGTTACTAAACTATAATTATTGAGTTGAATTTTAATATTTATTCTATATTTATATATCTCTTTCCTTGTTATTGATTTGCCTTTTTGCCTTTAAGTGTCATTATTTAGCCAGGCTGTGACACACATACAGAAAAGATGGTCCACTGTTGACTGTTGACTGGGAGCTGTGGGCTTTAGTCTGAGCTGTGTAGTCTGCGTTGGCCTCACTGCATCACTGCCTCCTCCTTCGACTTGGAAATTGCCACAGGAAGGATCTGCAAGTGGACTTTGGACCAACTGTTTGGCATTTCAACTGGCAACAGTGATGAGTTAAAATTGGACAAGGTTAGGCTTAGCCATCATGAAAGTTTTTGCTGAGCGATCCACAAACTCAGCAAATTTAACTTGTTCACATATACCAGACAATGTCGCGTGCTCTGAAAGATTCTCGGGGAATAGAACTGCCTGATAGCTTGCAGGCGGCACTGAGGTACAGAGGAGCAGACAGAATGAATGAGCCTGTGAGCCTGAGCTCAGGGCAAAGAAACCCTGAAGTTACAGATACAAATCAAAAGTGAAGCAAAAGTCACGTGTAAAAAGATTTGACTTTTCATCTATTAATATTTTTGTACGCATTAGCAAATCTTTTTCCACATTAACCAATCTTTTATAAATCTTTTTACACATTGACAAATCTCACTACAGACACACAACTCTCCAAACACATTTACAAATAGTTTTGCTACAGTAATACCCCCATAAGGATTCCTGTAGTGTTCATGTTTTGTAAACCTAAGAGGTGATACTATCAATTGTATATTTTGTAATAGTTACAATATTAATAAACTTTGTTTTATGAAAACCTTTTGATAATATCCTTTTCCAAACTCATTATTCAAACTGATGTTCCCAAACTAATGGATTAAATGCTTCATTAGCCTCAGCAGTAGTAATTCAAACATTGATCAGTGCCTACCAACGAAATGCTGTGACACATCCAAATAGTTGCAGATGTTTTCTAAATGGGGCTGTATTAAATAAGTGGTAGTAATGCATTCAGTGGTCAGTAACTGAAGGTATGTGCTCTTATTTTTATTTTCACAAACAGAAAATTAACTCTGTGGTCATCTTTCCACAGCCTGTATGTAAAACTACATGACCCAAATAAATGGAAAAAGCATATAAAGAGGAATTTACATCTGTGTCATCCTTCAACTTTACTCATAAAACTAAAGAGAACTTTTGCTGAAATGATCAAACTTACTTTCCATAAACATTGTTAACAAAACTGCTCCAATAAAGAGGCTACAACCACCACACACTACAGTCACACAACCGGTACTGAAACCTCTTAGGTCATACACATGCACATCAAACTGGAGTTACATACAGTAACTACTATTTATGTCTTTCTCCTGTGATTGTACTCTTAAGATACCTGTGTCTGGAAACTCATGCCACTGGTGAATTAGTACTCCTGGCTGTAATTATACCATGAAGACAAAACAACACTCCGAGCAACTCTGTGAAAAGGTTGTTGAAAAGCACAAGTTAGGAAATAGATACAAGAAAATTTCAAAGTCACTGAATAACCCTGGAATACAGTTAAATCCATCGTTAGGAAATGGAAGTAATACACATGCACAAGTGAGACGGCCGTCCTCAAAAACTGAGACTGCAAGACAGAGACGAGTGAGGGAGGCCACCAAGCCACGTATGACTACCCTGAAGGAGGTAAGAAATTGTCTGTAAACCCTTGTCAAAAAGGCAAATTATATTGACTATGATTTAATGTTGAAAAGCAATAACAAGGAGAAAACCTCTAAAGTGGGTGAATACTTTTCATAGGCACTATATCTTATCATGAAGAGTCTTGTACCAGCAAAAATGGGAAAACTTTTTTGTGACTTAGCAGATGACTTCAATCCTTTAAGGTTTTGAACTCTGGGATGTTTTGTTTATATTTTTAAACATTTCAATGTAAAGCTTGATAAAAAAAACAACAACTATTAGTTAGGACTCAAAATAATCAAACTCCTAAATAAAGCCAGGTACTCGTAAGTTGGTAAGAAATATTTATTGTTTACTGATATATTTGCAGTACATTTTATAAAGCTGTGTCACATTCTGTTATAATAAATCTTATTTTACAATCAGACAACATTTGCAGCAGGATCTATGATCCCAACACTCCACAGGTTATTGAGAATCGCAACAAAACTCAGGAATATGACTCCATTGTTTGTCCATGCATTTTAAAACAATTATATGGAGAGCCTTCAAAACTGAGCAGGTAAACATGATAACAACCAAGATGAGAACGGATTAAGTACACACCTGTGAGGGCTTCAAAAATGCAGCTGATTCAAATTAAACTGATCAAATAAATAATTCATCTTCATCCACGTCTAACGTATGAATCAGAGTGCTCGTGATGAAGAACACCAGGCGGTAATCAGAGAGGATGTTTTGTCCTGATGCACAGAGGTGAAACTACTAATGTTGATAATGGCTGAACCCCATTTAGGCGCCAACATTACTGGTAACACCTGTGCTTTTCCTTCAGTTGGTCAAAATATCACATTCACCGTTCTCATATATTAATCTCCATTCCTACATTTTGTGCATCTGATGTTAATGAAAGTCTGTGCTACGTAGGATTACTGTATGCTATTGAGATTTCTTTATAAATATTTTTTTACAGTCATTACCCTGTTTATAAGTACTTTGGAAGGACGGATGCTATATATTATGAGAACTAGAGGAACTGTACATCGCTAACAACAAAATGTCCTTTTGAATTTGAGGAATGAAGTTGTAACACCAATTTTGTGTCACCAATATACTCTTTTGATATCTCTCTAGAGTTTGTATCTTTCACTAGAATTATATTCCTCTCTCACAGCGGCGTTGGTATGTGACAAATGTGAATATTTACATTGCAGAACAAATAGCTCACCTAGCTGCGCAGTCTCTCTCACTGCTCCGCCAGCAACAAAAAAATGTATTCAAGAGTTAAAATTCCTCATATACACACGTTTCACAATATAACACAAATAAATCTTGAATAGATGTAGTGCCTCAAATTTATGGAAAACATTTAAAAGTCCAACGGCACATAGAAGCCAGACTATCTTCGAAGGCCCAGGACTGAAGGAGGGATGCATTAACTGGAGTCAGCAGTGAAAGAGGCAGCTGACGCTAGGCTTTTGAACACAGAATTGCACACTAAACCATCTCATCAGTGGGCCGCCCTCCTCACAGGCTTGTCCCTGAAGCAGATGTAGGAGAAAAACGGAGAATGAACCTGTCCTTAGAACTCCTCATGCACGTTTCTGGCATAATCCATGAGTTTGCTTCCCGTGAAGTATTCGCTGTATTTGAGAATCTCATCCAGCTCCAAATTGTGATTCTGGTTCTCGTCTGCGACGGCAATCATCTGCTTGGCTTCATTCAAAGCGTTGTGCTCGTTCATTGGGTCCATGTACTCCTGTAAGACGCGTTTGAGGGAGAAAGAGGAAAAAAAAACTGTCAAGGGCAACCAAGTTTCAATTCAGTCTCACATTTGAACAAAGACAAAGGTCTATGTTGAAGTCATGTATAAACTACAGCATGGAAATGGAAGAGGGATTCCATACGTTTCTCACTATTTCATTTTTTTCTTTTTTCCATGAGGTCTTATCATTCATATTTTATTTGTCAAAACTACAAAACCACTGGAGTTATCTAGTGTGGACTGATGTGGCAAAAGGCCAATTCTATTTATTTAAAATTAAATCTACAGTGCAAAGTGAGTAAAAACATCTTCACATTTATTTCTTAAATTCAACTTAATTATACACCCCTTAGGTAATTAATTATGAATAATACTACACCTATTCTAGTTACTTTTTACATTCCTCCTTTGTTACATTATGAGTTTATTTAATTGTTGGTGATCCACTTGTTTTCTTTTTCAACTCGAACAATTTGTTGTTGTTACTACTCACTGAACAGCTACAATAGATTTCTTTGTGTCCCTTTTAAGATAAAAACAAACAAAAACAAAAAACAAAGCAGTTATAGTATCCAAAAAAATAGAAAGTCATATTGTATTTCTTCTTCTTTTTTTGTTTGTTTGTTGTTTTCCCTTACACTGCGGAGACGTCTGTAGTACAATCCTTTGGCTTCTTGACCACTTGTGTCACTTCTGCATCATTTGTATTGTATGGATTTTATACTTCGTAATTTATAAACAATTTTAAAGAGCAACTGTGATTTATGGGTGAAATATTGTAGCAGACTGGATACGCAGTACTTCAAATATGCTTTTCCAATATAAACGATCAAGAAATCAAATGCACCAAACAAACAAGGCTGTTGCTTTTTTTGTTACTCACCTCCAGTTCATCCATCGTTACGATGCCATCATGGTCCGAATCAATGACCTCCTCAAACTCCTTCTTCCTCTCTCGGACCCAGTCATCGTCGATGTCCTGAGCCTGCTGGTTCTCCACGGTGCCCACAGGTAAAGAGATGAACTCTGACAGTGTCAGTTTCTTATCACCATCCTGATCTGCAAGAAAAGCGCATAAACCTATCATTTATACTCTGTAGTGGTAAAATTCCCTTTAAGAATGGGCCTTGTTATAAGTGAACTCTTATTCAAACAACACTGAAGGAAGACCTTTAAATGACCCAGTAACTTGATCAATACCAGCTGAGGCAGCTTCATCAGAGTATAATAGGAGTGTGAACCAAAACTGAGGTGTAATGTTTCCATGTCCTGACACAAAAACTAGGTTTGGAACACAGTTCTCTGCATGTAAACAGAGAGGCTACGATTAAATATGCAACACCTTTGGTGCTGTCTTTAATACTTTACACTGCCACAGTGAAGAAGTCACAGATAACTATCATCCTTAGAATCTGTTCTTTCACTTTTCCTGTCACTTTTAAAATTCAAAGACAGAAATAATTAATCTGCAGTTCTCCTCAGTTATATAAGGTGTTTCAGTATTTTTCAGCTTCATGTTTTGGTTTCCATAAGCTTCAATGTTTTACTTCGCTCTCATCCTCAAAATGCAGCAGGCAGCTGTTTTCAGCTAAGTTTAAGATACTGAAGTTCAATCTATAGTTGCTGGGTAAGTAAAGTGTACCTAAGTCTCGTACAATCTCCTTGACCATGTACTTGAGCATGCCCCTGCTGTGTTCAGGATGGAGGAAAGACAGGAACTCCTCCTCATTCAGCAGCTGGTCAGCTGGAGGGTTGTCCGCCTGAAACCAGCGATCCTTCAGGCTCTCCAAGACCTCCTGAGCTGCAATCATGAAGATAGCAAAAATATTAACAACTCAGACAGATTTAACCTGGAAATCTGGAGCACGTGTCCTCCGATTTACCAGTTATAAACACCGTTGATAAAATATTACAACGTAATCCTTCTGCACTTACTTTCCTCATCCAGTTTCAAATCTTCATTATTCTTTATTTTCTCAGCAACTTCTTTTTCATCGAAACCTTTGCTGGCCAGAAATTTGACCCTGTATTCATCCCATGTCACATGACCTGCAGACAACACATGAATTCAGACTTGGAATACAACATGATTAGGCTGGAACGCAGTGCGACAACAGACAGCAGATGTGACTCTCTCACCATCACCGTCTGGGTCGACAGCACGGAAACTGTTCTTGTTCTCCTTCATGGCCTCCTGAAAGTGCTCTTCCGTCTTCTCCATAATCCAGCGCTGCATCTCCTTTGCGCTCACACTCCTGTCCTTGTTGAAGTCAACTCTGTGAGGAGAGCATTTACAAAAATAAACTGACTTGTAAAGTACAACACCACAATGGCTCAATTAGGTTTTTAATTACATCATTTACTATTGTAGGTTCAGTTCGTGCTTGTCTGATTTAATTTTGTTTATACCTCAGTTTTTATTGTTTTATTTTGGTGCAGTTTGCACATCTTGTTATGCATTTGAATGGACAGTTTTGAAGAGTGAGTATTTGCCAAGCACTTGTTTAGCGAAAAAGAACATTTGCTATCTTAATAAAAAAAACGACTTAAATTATGGCAGAACAATGCAAAGAAAAATGCTCATAGCTTGCTTGTTTTTTTGAACTTCAGTAATTATTTTTCTATTAATACAGCAACATTTACATATTGCATCATGTGTTTGAGAGCCTTCTGATGCCTGGAAAGTGACTTCTACAGAGAGGAACATGACTTACAGTGAATTACACTGGAATTTCACAACCACCTGCACATTACAATTCATTTTCTCAGCCTGAGTTTGTTTTGCAATATGATGATGTTGTGACACACCCAAAGCACATCTTAAACACATCTCCAGCCTGTCATAACAGCAACAAGTACAGTTATTATTTTACGTTTTTATGGCCTCCACCTCTTTCACAGCTAGTCTAGTGTTCAAATATTTGACATTTCAAGTCCTGCAACAGTCTTTCAACTCATGCTGGCGAATAGTGACAAACCCGATTAGCAACTTCTCCCTGCAGTTCTGAGAATTAAAAGTATATCTTACTTGGTGAAAATTTCAATAAGCTTCTTCCTATTCCTCCTTGGCTCAGAGTCCTCTTCAAACTCTTCCATCTCTTTCCCCAGAAAAACTTCCTGATGGAAATCCTTGTTGAGGTGTCCATCCCTCTCCATCTTCACCCCATTCAAGTGGTCTGGGGGAAGAATCTCGTTCTCGTCCTTGCCGGCTGGAGACTTGTCTTTAGAGGCTGACATGTTGGCCGGACGTGCGTGTACGTCCATGGTGTGCAGGAGGACATAGAAGAGCAGACACACAGCCAGGAGGTTTTTGCACCACAACTTTCTCCAAACAGCCATGATTGCCTTCGGAAGAGTAACTGTAAAAGCAAAGGATTAAAAACCAAGTCTTATTGTAAAGTTAGGTTTGGAAAAGGCAATATGCTGTTGCTGCAAGTCATCAGGTATGACGCTGCCTAGACACCAACGCCACTTTATCTAGTATCTACAAAGTGAACACGCCCACTGGAAAACTGGAAATCCCATTCATGCCTTGACCCTATTCCTGAATATACTGACGTGGATGAGTCAAATAGAGGAAACTGTTGTGAAATCAAATCAGCCACAGTGTCTTAATCCCTTACTATGATGTATCTTTAGTTATTATGTTATTGTGTTTTTATTCACATGTGCCTTTCAGTCTGCTGTTATTGGTTGTACAGCACATTGGTTCAACTCATGTTTGCTTTCTAAATGAATTTGACTTTAGTTACACGAATTAGCAGAACAAACTAGCAAATCCACACAAGCTAGCAAACGCCACAAAGGCCTTTTTAAAGTTATTTCCCTGCTTATTTAACATCACGAACAGAGTGTTTAGTAGGTATAATAGTGTACTCTTCTATGATGTTGTCGTGAGATGTGGTGTGTTTTCTGAACACCACATACAACGCTGACTTATCTGACAACCTGGACGGACACTGTCATTCATTATTTACATTATTAAGCTATTCATTATTTAACAATTAATTATTTATTTGGCAACATGAGACTATGTAAACGAAGAGGACCATCGGTTTCCTGACACAAACACGGGTTAGCATGCTAATTTAGCCCAGTCACGTAGTTCCCAGTTATTTTATACAGTAACGCTGTTTCATGTTGCTAAGTGGCTAACACGGGCAGGCTAATAACAACATCACGGCTAACGTTAGCCCCTGTTGACCACTAACTAGTCTAAATATCGGTAATAAAGTAGGACAGGGCTCGTAGAGATCAACCAACCTCTCAGACGCGGCTTGAAACGGCACAGGTGCCAAACACTCGGGTAAATGAGAGGTGGCTAGGGGCAGACAGCGGAGTCACCAGCTAGCTGACGGTAGTATTAGCTCGGACTTCCTATTCAAACGAACCTTAGGTGGTTCCAGTCAGTCAAGGCAAGCTGTCAGAGTCCAGTTCCTGTACACGTGGCTCCTCCACAACACTCCCCCAGTCCAAAAATGTGGAACAGCTCAGTCCGGAACAGCCCTGGAGGGACACAAGTTTTTAGGCAGAGTCGGTTCGGATGTTCCAGCCTGTTAATTCACTCAAACTGTCAGTTGAACTGCCGTTAGCTCGCCGCTACCACTGCGCTGGAAAATGTGTTAGCTAACCGAAGTCACAAGTACAACTTCTGGTCAGCACTTTCAGTTTAAAACCCCGACCTTCACTAATGTGCATATGCAGGTGTTGTGCCAGTGGTGCATACATTGTTTGAATAGCTAAAAGTAATGGATATTGTTTATAAATCTGCACCTTAACTCTTATTATGTTTATATCTTTATTCTTGGGCGGGAAACATGTAATGAAAAAGAATTCCCCCTCGGGATGAATTAAGCATGTCTAATTCTGAAATAAGTTAGCAATACATAGCAGTATAAATATTCAGTGAAAATTAATAGACTAATTACTAAAATAAACAGATGCTAACAGAAAATCACATCAAGGAAATTGATAAATTGTTTGAATAGCTAAAAGTATAAAATATTATTTGAGACATATGAATTAATAATACATAAGAGTTCAAATAGTTAGTTTAAAGTAATGGACAAATGACTACAATAAAAAGAAGCTAACAGAAAAATAGATAAAGGTAGTGAATAAATTGTTAAAGTGGCCAAAAGTAATGGCCTTTAATAGTTTAAATGAATAAAGAACTGTTCAATTAGCTAAAGATAATGGGTCAGTTCAAAAGAAAGGTTTATACATTTAAAAAAAAGAACAACACAAAAATGTATGTAAAAATGTTAAAAGTTAAGGATATTGATTGCTAAATTTATCTAAAATAGTTCAAATAGCTATAGGTAATAGATAAATATCTTAAAGTAATGTATTAATTCTTTAAATAGCTAAAAGTAATAGGATGTTGTCAGATAATATTTTTATATAACAGTGCACAATTAATGAAGACATTCTAAAATGGATTTTAAAAGTTGTGGATATTATTAAAAAAGTAATGACAAAATAATTAAAATGGAATGAAATACCACACTTGAAATAGTAGCTTAAAACTGGGCCAAAGCTGCCCAAAACAAACAAACAAAAAAAAGTCAATGTGTGTTGTTAAATTCAGCATGATTCTTATTATCGCTCTGTATGTTGAAGCTGTTGCTTTGTGTTCAGAGGCGAGCTTGACGTTTTCTGGCTGCAGCTGCAGGCAGACGTGCAGGATACAGGAACCAGGAAGTCACCAGTATGGAGCCATGCTGAGAAGGTACCGGGGAGCTGTTTGTACTTCAGGCTGCTGCCTCTGGATGTCACTGTGTTAAAATGTAATAATGGCACCAAGTAGCAGTCCAGTCTGAAAGCGTAAAGAAATAAATACATATGTCTGGGTAAGCTCTCATGAGCTAACATGTTATTTATCCTAATAAGAGTATGAAAGGGCAGACAAATGAGCTTATTGTAGGCATACCCAGACCAACAATTTCATCTCATCAGTCATAGGTTATTTACTGAAACCTGCAATTTACACTAGTTGAAATATAAATTTTACTCTCTTTTTCTTCCTGGAGCACTCAGGAGAAGGAGACATGAACATCGAATAAAGCAAACAGTGTCCAAGTCGGGATTCTTCGGCAGGTTTTCAAACAACACATTACACAAGACAATGCCTTAAGATCACAAAAAAAGTGCAGAAATTGTTTCTATTTCTAACTTGGATGTAAACACAGGGCTTTGGTAGAGTAGACCAGTAATGAGCCAAATGACAGATACACAACTTCACGTACACATCACACACACACACACACACACACAACTTGTCTGCCAAAGAACCTCTTCAGCTTGAACATTTCATCTATGAGATAAAACAGAGCTGAATAGGCGAGTGATGTTGCCAATAGAGAGACGCAAGGGGGAGAGAGAGGGAGAGGGGCAGGGGGAGGGCGAATGGGTGATGATAAAACTCCACTGTGAGCCCTCCTGCAAGCTCAGTCAGAGAGCAAAGGAGCAACTGAGACCAGAGGGGCAGGGAGTGTTGTGCAGTAAAGAGGAACCTACCAGGCACTAAATCTATGCACATGGACTTGTTGGGACAGTCAGTAGGCAGCACCTGAGAGGCAGAAGAGCTGATACCTGTAGAGTTTTATGTTGTGTGATAGGAGCCTGTTTGTACTTCAAGGAGGAAAGAAGAAGGCTGGGCATAGATCATTACTGGACCTCATCCATCTCCTCCCGAGCTTTGTTCTTTCTGCATCCCTGTGGACACGCGGTGTGCCGGCAGACACGCTGATCTGACCTGCATCTGTAGATGAAAGTCCAACTTGTGTGGATCTTGCAGCTTTTCCAGCTACCGCACCAGTTTGCTGGAGCCTGGATCCACTGCTCAGTGTGAGAGACAGCGGGAGAGAACGAGGGAAAAAGAGAAGATTGCCATCCATCTCCAGCCCCCACAGCCCACCCTCAGCTTCGGACGCCCCTCCTCTCTGCCTCTTCTTTTGCCCCCTGTACCCCCACCACCACCACCACCACACCCCCACCCCCTCCAACACCTCACCCCCCAACAGAGCAGAAAGCGTGAAAAATCTCACTAATGGGTTTATTTGCTGTCAGATCTGCGCCGATCTGTCATTCCCTTGGACCATTCTGCTTGACACATTTCATAGTTGAGTAAGCCTCCTGGCTTTCTGGCTAGACTTAACAGTGCCCCTGCAACGTTGTGCTGGCTGAGAGCTCATCAACTGAGGAGCAACGGCGGCAGCAGTCAGTCTGACAGTCTCTTGGACAGGGAGTCCCTGAAGCTGCATTCCTCCAGTCTCCCTCTCTCCCCGAGTTTGTGAGCTTTGCGGGCATCCTCAGCTTCTGTCTAACCACACAACTGGTCCTCCCCCAGAAGATTTGGGCTGCTTCTGCAGGGATTCTGGTGCTGATCGAAAGAGTGTGAAGATGTGGTGTGGGGCTGGGCCTCTGGCCGTGGTGGCTGCAGTGTTTTGGACTCAGTGTGTCCTCCTGGATGGGGTGGATGCCAAGAAGGAGAGAAAGAGGCCAAAGGAGGCCACTCCACAACACACTGAGACGTACAATGCAACTCTGTCCAACAGTGAAGAGGTCGGAGGAAGCATCAAGGTAGTAAGTTAAACGATCTTTTTATAAAGTATAAGTTTATAGTTACAATACATTTTACATACGTGTATAAGCTTTAGATGAAAGTTTGAGGTTAACTACAGATATATGTCAGATTTTCTTGTTAGTGCATTCTGTATGCAAATGAAATAACATGCTGCAAAGGTAAAAGTCTGGACAGGACAGGTGTGCCCTACCAGGTCAAACCTCAGACAGTTTGATGGACCAAAATGTGTTAAACACAAAATGGATGACTTCTGGAGGAATGCAAGGAATGTGGACATCTGAAGGCTGATCAATGCATCAATTAGTGCAAGCTGCGGGTGTCTGCCACCAATTTTCCAGCTTCATGAGAAAGCCAGATACGATGTTTATAAATAGCTCATCAGTGTAGCAAGAAATGTAGTAATGAACTAAATAATTTAAAATGAAAGAACCTTTAGAGTTTCTATTTTCTAGAGAGAGTTATGGAAAAACGCTGTTTTCACTGGAAACATACTCCTCTTACAAAACAGCATTGCTGTGGTACACTTCCATTTTCAGGAGCAACAGTTGGCCCTTGACTCTGTTATTTATTGGTTTATTGCTGGTGTTGCATATTTGAGAGGGGTTTCCAACAGGGTGTTTGTTTTGCTTTCAGCCCACCCATTATGTTGGCATTCTCATGTAACTCTTACTGCCCTATATACCAGCCTTCACTTCTGCTCCTACCAGGCAGTCTGGTGGTAACCTCCACCGCCTTTCCCCCTGCCTTGAAGCCTCGCAGTGAGGTCTCCTTTGTATCTTTAAGAACACTTTGTAGGTGGTTGTGGCCTGGCGATGTTTATTTGACTTGGTTCGCTCTGTAAAAGCAGCAGCTATGAAGGATGACCTTGTGTCAACTCTGAAGCTTGCCGAAGTTGTACCCCACTGGGATCGCTGCTCTGGGAGCAGGGTGTCTTCACAGTGCCTTATAGGCCGTGATGTAATTCCTGGGAAAGTTAGGTGGGCAGATATTTAAAGACCTGTGGTGATGTTGTTCCCAGCCCATTGATTCTGTCATTCACAGGCCTAGTCTGACTCCGCTGTGTCTGGGACATCCGATAGGGGCGGTGTGGCCCTGAAAACTGGGGCAGCATGCCGTGTAAGCCCCTCACAAAGCCCCATAGAAAGGGTCCTGAAAGGGAACACCTCGGTGAGGATTATCCCCCTGTGCCTCCCTCTCTGACATTCTTTTCATCTCATCTCCCACAATCAGACGGTAATGACATAATCACTCTTAAGACGCAGTGTTATGCCAGAGAGTGTCTTTGCCAAACATTGTCACCTCTGATGGAACCTGAGATTTAAGCTTGACATCTGTGGAAGTGGTTGTATTGAAGGTTGCATTTGTTGGTGCCACTCAATCTGGGTTTCTGTTCAAGGGAATAAAAAAAAGAAAGAAAAACTCATGCCACACACTAAGAAAAGTGGTAAACTTGCTTTTCTTGGGTAGTTTGTAAGTTTATCCTATTACACATCTGTTAGGTCTCAGAGAAAACAACACGTCCATTGGAGCTGTCTTGGCAAGCAATTTGTATTCTCAAACAAGCCAAACATTTACACTCCAAATTTACATTTTTTTCCCTTGTGCCCAGTGGAAACAGTTCTTATGATGGCATTTGCTTTCTATCTGACCAATCCCGTGTGTGGGCTGCTGGCAGCGTGCAGTCGAACTCTGCATTCCTCTGGAGATTTTCCATTTGAAAGTGATCACAACAGTGAGGTGTGGAGTTGTGCTGCGAGGGGAATTTTTTTAATGAGATGATGAACATTTTAAACAACGGCGATCTCTGTGAACCGTCACATTGTGCAGTTTTAGAGCAGTATGTCAAAGGTGTGAGCCTTATTGCTCCCCACTCTAAAGATGAGAGGAATCTGTCACAGTTGAGAGCGGTGTGGGTTCTGTGATGGCTATAATGGAGGGAGTCAAGTCAAACATCACGCCTGGTGTGTTGAGTAATGGCTAGGTTTAGCCTGAGGCAAGGGTTTTTGTTTCCTCTCTCTCATCCCTAGTGATGATTAATGCAGCGACTTGTGAGACCTTTTGGATCAACCTACACATAAGAGACAAGGCCGAGTCCCAAAGGAAACAGGGCCACTGTGAGAGCACACACCTCTCATACACTATCAATGGTGTGAACTACCTCTAGTCTGTGGGGCATGCAGTGAAGTCTGCTTTCCACATGCCAGACAAAGGTTATGCTTATATAACATTGCAAAATAACCTAATTAAGTTGACTGAAAGAGAGTGAACAAGAAACAAATAATCAACGGTCATTTAATCTGAAATGTACAAGTAAAATAAACCACAGCGTTGCATTGTGGTTTTATCTCACAGACACAGAGCTGCTGTTTTATTTGGATTTTGTTTCATTTATAACAGCTTCAGATTGATGCCAGATTTATTGAAATCCCTTAATCTTGCCTGATTCTTATCATGTGCTGGTCATGTTCCTGAATTTCTGCTGCACTTTACAGGAAACTTGTCAACTGTGGCTTCAAGTAATAACAACTGTAGTGCTCATTTGTTTACATAAGGTTTTATTTTGTTGACAGCATAGAATAATGTTTCAGATTTATCTCACAGATGCAAATAAAGTACAGCAATGCGAGAACCGAAATTGTTCAATATTAATGTTTCATTTAATGTACAGCAAGATTAAATAACATTTTTAAAGGACCAGCATGTGAAATTTAGGGGGCTCTATTTATTACGATGGAATATGGTATTCATTATTTTGGCTTTATTAGTGTATGGTCAGCTTTAATTCCTGTAAATCCTTGTGTTTTGCTAGTTTAGAACGAACCTTTCATAAAAAGTGCATAAAAAATGGAGTCAACACCTAAATGCCAAAAACTGCAGTTCCTGAAATGGCCACTTGAGGCTGGCTTTAAAAATAAGTCAATCCCCGTAGACTTCCATGTTAAAATGTCCAACTTTACAGCAAAAATTAACATCTTTACAACTTGGTACAGAACATTTTTAGTCCTTATAGCTAATTTACTCGTTCATTACAACTGTAAAAGGGTTACGTTTTTATGTAACACACCTGTTTAAATTATATTAAGACTTAAAATTATGCACAATTAAGGGCGTGGGTGCTTTGAATGATGGGCAGGTGTTGTCATAGAACATAGTCTTTGGCTCACCTCAGTTTCGCTAATGCTCCACCTCTTTGCTAATTCTTGGATTATCCGGGAATTAGGAGGACTCAGGCACTATCAACACCTGAAGTCACCACACTGAGCTTTAAAACCGTTCTTCGGGAAACCTATGGGTGGGACCGTGGTGGGTTCATCCATCTTTATGTACGGTTTTCACAGTGAAGTGACAGCCTCCATAGGTTGTCCCACACACTGCAACATAATAGATGCCATTAAATCCTCAATACTGGTCCTCTAACATCCTGGGAACTAAGCTCATTCACATGATGGTCAGCTAATAGGTGGTTGGCTTAGCTTAGCTTGGCATGAAGACTGGAAACAGATAAAAACATAGAGCCGGAGACTATACAATCAGCCTCCTTGCATCTATAAGCTCGATATTTAACACTTTATATCATGCCTGTTTATTCTGTAAAAAAAAAAGAAAAGAAAGAAAGAAAGAAAACAAAAATATTGTTGACATTATGGTTCTGTCAGACAGAACCAGGCCATTTCTTTCCCCCTGTTTCCGGGCTTTTGCTATGCTAAGCTAATTGTCTGTTGCCACCATAAAATTTTACTACACAGTCAGTTCAAAAGGCTCGACCAACTCTTGGCCAGAAAACAAACACAACATTCTCAGGTATTGTCTTTATAATCAGAGTATTTGGGAGTTTCAGTTTTATATTTTTATTTTATACCTGTACTCTTTGTTTGTGTCACTATTTATGTTATTCCTCCAAGTGCTTGAGACATAATTTGCCAAATTAGTTGCATAAAAGTAAGAAAATAAATAAGTATGTACTTATGTAACATCGTCCAGAACCACAAATGAATCATATAAAAGGAGGAGGATCTAATGACTTCCTACTCTAATGTTCTGTCCACAGTCAATCCATGTGGCAAACCCATACCTGAGATGGAACTGAAACACTGGTGCTTTTCAACAGCTCATTTTACCTACCACAGGGAAAATGAGCACTCACTCCAATTTCAAAGCTATAATTTGTACACAAAACAGATGTGACACAGCGATCAAAGTTTCTCTCAGCTTATATTGCCTTTTAATATCAAGAGGAAACCAAGATTGTCTCTGGCTATTTCTTAAGCATAAACACAAATTTACTCACTTTCTCTCACACAAAAGAAATGCACCTTTGTTGGGACAACAGAAAAGTTGTTGGAAACAGCAACTTAAAATCAGACCACATTATGAGAAACACATTCAGCTATATCATTATATAACAACTATATTTCATTTACACTTCCAAATGTGTTACTGCAACATTTGTTGAGCTAATAACAGCATCCTCTCAGTGCGACAGAGTAATTATGTTTTGCACACGGTGCTTGAAAATTGAGTAATAACACAGTGAAAAGAAGGCAGAGTCAACATTGCATGCCTAACTGTATTTAGCTCTTTGGCGATAAATCCTCAAGGCAATCTTTCGCTGTGAAGTGCAGCGGTGGGGAACACGGGGGTGGATGCATGACGACTGGGATGCACGCAGGTTAGCAGGATCCCCTCGTCCCACACAGCCCGGGGATCCCTGCCTCCCGGGGCGGCATTGGCTCAGCGTTAGGCCCTTTCACCCATGCATGGATGACTGCACAGGGAGCAGTACAGCGATGTAAAAACAAGAGATTATAGCAGGCTCTCCATCATCCTGTCCAACCTTAAACCTGTGTGTGCAACATTTTTATCAGCAGCAAAAAGTTTCATGTCGTCCAGTGTGTACGTACAGGTAGAAAAAACAGATAACACGCGAGTGAAAATAAGATAAGTTCCACTGTACACATGGAAGAATTCAGGAGCTGCCTGCAGAGGAGTAGAGTTT